AGCTGGCTGATGGTAATTCAAGTTAACTTGTTAAAGGATGGTTGGAGATTTGCAAAAATCTTGGGTAAAATTGTTTGGGACTCTATTATGTCCATATGCCTCTTTGGCACACACATAATTCTTATCTCTAAGATCCAAATTCCAGCCACTTACTCAAAATTGTGGCATGTGGTAAATGACTTTTTTAGACAATCTTTTACTTTGGGAAAATTTATAGTGGTTTTAAGAAAATGGCCTCACATATATTATCTCTAACCTTTTCAGCAACTCTACAAGGTAGGTGTTACTCTCTTTTACAAACAAGGAAATTGATGCTAAGTAAGATTAAAAGCAGAATTTTCAAGGTTACTCTCACAAGATTATGTCATTCTTTCTCAGTTCTGTCTGCTACATCTACCTATAGGTATAGAATTGAAATTCAGCTCTTACACCAAGGTAAGAGATGACATAGATAACTAAAAAAATTATTTTATATATAGGCTTATATTTATCTCATTATTTTTTTTCTAACAGCAATCATCCCATATTCAACAAATATTTACAGTTGTCTTCTTCAAGCATCTAAGGACTCATCTATGCTTAAATTTAAACACTGACCAAAATAGCACAACATTAATGAGGAAAAGTAAATAAAGAATCAACTCTCAACCAAATGCCACACTTACCCATAGTATGTATACCTAGTTGTCTTAAACATCACTCACACAGATTGCAATCTGGTCACTTAGACTCTCCATCGAGTTTTTATTGAGCAATTTCTATGTGCTTAGCACAGTGCTGGACTCTGTAGGTATCTATAAGAGATATATAAAGCATGGGTCCTGCCCACAGGGAGCTTACAATATGGTTGAATTAAAAAAAAAACAAAACAAAACTACAAAGGCTCTTGAAGATACATATTGTACAAATTATTTTTATATAAAAAACATTTTAGATAATGAAACAAAATAAAGCTTTAGAATATAAATGAAATGAAGAAACACTTTTATCTATGAGATGAGCCTAGAGATATTTTAAATTAACAAAATACTTAGTAAAAGCCTGGATTAAAGAAAAATAGAAGCACAAATATTTTTAAGACAGCAATTAAACATTTAAGTATTCATAGTGATTAAAAGTATATCAAGCAAGGTATGTTTTATACAGACCCTTAAGGTACATAAATAATTACAATTATCTTAACAGCAGGTTCCTTTTGAACGTGCTTCCAACTATCGAGGATGTTGATAAATTTTTGTTCTCTTAAGTAGTTCATATTGTTTCTTTATAACCTGGATTTCATTATTTATTTAATTTTTAAAAGTAATTCTTGTAGATAGTAAAAATGTGGTCAATTCAACTCTGTCTAAATTTTAATATATTTCGGGGACCAAAGTCCTCTTCTAACTATGAGAGATATACACATTTACATATAAAAGATAATGTCTCTAATTTTCTCCTCCATCCTTGGGAGAATTTGGATAAATACAGCTTCTGATGGAAGCTCAATCTTCTAATCCTAACATTCTTTGCTTTCTTACCTCTCCCTGGCTCTAAGAACTTGGCATGGCTTGGCATACCTCTTCTCATTACCGTGGCCCAACCTCTCTTGGGAGCAGCTCAGCTGTGTTGTACATTTGTTTGTTTGTTTTGTTTTGTTTCACCATGGGTCACAGTGGTGTTGAATGAAAGAACTGGTTCTGCAATAGGATAGAGGTGGGAGTAGGCAGGAGTTCATTTCTTCCAATGCAAAGCCATAGGTTTAAAATTACATAGAATATATTATATG